GATGATAGTGATGAATGAAAACTGAAGTAAGTTTTGGCACGGCAACTGCAGAAGTGCCCTAGTAAGGCACGTTATTCAGGCACCAGCCGCTTCTCCTTCACAAGGGAGTTCAAATACTATTACATGGTAAAGAACTTGACATATGTACGAGTCAAGGCTATTGGCTCTATACAACAAACACAAAATTAGCCATGTACAAGGATAGTCTGCTACGGGGGAAATCCAAGTAGTCGGATGAAAGTTACTGCTGCAAGGAATTTTAGGAAGTTTTTAGGGGAAGAAGTTGTAGTATGTAACGGCTTATGCCTTCCCTGCTGGTCGGATTAATCTGGAAAGTAAAGGAACAATCTAAGCGGACATGTTAATGAGCAGTCTGTTTCATCCCTTAGCTATAAACACAGACCGAAGGCAGTAGGAGGGTAGAAGCGGGTATCATCGGTATAGCTTATTACTTACCCTGTACATGATGCGCATGGGCCAGATCACATAAGTGGGTAAGTACTGTGCCGTTGCAAAGTACAGCCAAATAATTATTATTGATAAGCATTCAAGTGTATAAAACGCTCCAGGAATTACTTTTTAGAAGATCGGATTGCCTGGGCATTGGAAAATTAGCATTGTTAACCGTTGAAATTTTACACTGCATTTACTGAAAATTTTTATTTATATTGCCAATTGCAAATGTTTTTATTGCAGCGCGGATGCATTGACAAAATACCATCCGTGGTATCCAAGAATCCTAAACTATCCGTACTAACGCAGTGTTTCGTCGCAAATTCATGGTCCCCCAGAAAAAAATACAGTTGTACTGCAGTAGGCATCAGAATCGATACACCGCCGCAACGTGGCGTGCTATGTTGCTGCGCCAAAGTATGCCCACACGAGTAAGTAAATCTCAAATTTGACGTTTCTTTGCTATTAAACTTTTTTGCACAAAACGAAAAAGTGTTGCAATCAGTCTAGTACTTTATGTTTTCATGCATTTTGTTAAAAATCCAGGCAAGGTTTCGTATTTCCTGTGCTCACCGAATCTAATGAGTTTGATGTTAATGCCATCTCTTTCGAAACCCAACTTACTTTTCATTTTAAACGTGATATGCACAGCAAGAATTTGCTGCTTCGTTACATGAAGATCGTCTGTGTGTGTGCGTTTCGGATGCAAGTGAACCTCGCCATCCACTCTCAACTCAGCGACCAGAAAAGCTGGAAGGCTGAAATTTTACGGCCATATTCCTACCCCGTGTGTCACTCTCTCGTTTTAAGATCTCTCCCCATACGCTCCTAGGTTTCGCTTACTGATCCCGGAAAAAATATGCGAATTTTTTTGATGGGAAACGATTATGGGAACCAGGCAAGACAGAAAGCTGTAATTTTGAAAGGATATTCTATGTGCATGTGTGAGCTAAAGTTCTCAAATTCAGCTATCGCACACGCTTGTGCAGCGCATACGGTCACTTCAGATTTCGCAACTTGACACTGTGCTAACTCGAAAACTTGTCGAAAAACAGTGGCTGAAATGTTTTCAGCATTTTTAACAACCATGTGGGAAATCATATACCCGAATTGAATCCCGATTTGCATTTGCATCACTTCAAAGATATTTGTAGCAAAGTGGCTATTTTGTTTACTGAATAAGGTGCGAGGCTGAAACTCCGCTAGGCTATTTTCGTGTGTGGTCTTAATTCTGCCTGGAGGAAAAATTCCCTGTAGGTGGTTATGAGAAACACTCAACTTTACCGCTAACTCAAAAACGAGTGCACCCTCATCCTTCCAGTTCGTTTACATGTTTAGATTTTTTGACGAACGAGCGCTCTAGCAACATTTCTGCTTTTCAGAAAAGAAGCAAAATTTTTGCATTTTCAAAAATTTGCACCTTCCATTTCTTCAAAAAGCAAGCACTTGTCCAAAAAACGAGCGGGCTTCATGCAAAAAAATAACAATCATGCACCTGGAGGTCCATGTGGACAATGCAACACTTCCGTCTCACCCGACGCCCTCCTGCATGCCAGAAGAAGCCAAAGCACGGCCACTATGGGTCCAAGTGTTAGGGGTCATTCCTGCTATTAGCGATCTGCGAGTTTCGTGTAAAAACATGATTGCACCGGCAAACCTGGTGCGCTCCGGCCTGGGTTTGATTTGGCAAGTGATGCAGCGAGACAAAAACGTTAACAATGAATTGCAAGTCGATGTGAACTTTGGCAGGTCTTACTTTCCTTTTGTTTTACTTTGATTTTAGAAGCTTAAATTTCAAATAAATATCACTGTTTCAGGGCTATGAGAGGCTCACCGACCAGCTTCGAGATGGGCTTTCATATTGTTGATGGCATTGATTAATGCGTATGTTTTAGTGAAAAAGAGTGGAATCAGCTGTGCTAGCAATTTTTTGCTCGGTGAAATACTTTGATTGCCGAGAATTACTTGCTACACTTTGCTTAGTTATTTCATTGTCGCCCTGCTTCTTACTTGTGTACCTGGAAGCTTCTTCATCGTTCTTCATTATGCTGTTATTTTCCAGCTACAATGTTCTGCTCCATCGCTGTTTTTCATTTTCATACTTTTTTATTTTCTTACTTTTTATATTGTTGTTAAATTACATAATTTGACTACAAAATATTGCACATTACCACTGACAACACAGTCAAATACGTAGCTACTCGGGGTGAAAGTGGTATGGGAAAGTAGAAGTGGACAGTGATGGCTGAAGACGGGATGTACTTAGAAGGGGTTTGGAGAGACGGAAGGAGAGGGAAAGGGAATTAGGATACTTCACCTGCAGGCTGCCGCGAGCTATAAATTGCCATCTTTTAAATTATTCCACAAGATGGAACGCAAAAATTCCGCATCGATGGTCTTTGCCGTGAACGGGAGGTCTGCTTTGCAAGAGAGTGTGGAAAATTTACTGTTCTGTAGATTTAGTGGGATTAATGAGGCAGTCAGACCATGTCACGGGCAATTCTACCCTGAGAACCGGGCAACGCAGGTGGATGAGTTGATGGGTAAAGAAGAGAGAATTTCAGTTTGGTCGGCGAGGAAGGAACCGAATTTCTTCATATTCAAGCGCCATTTCTCCCCCGCTGCACTAATAGTCATTGCGCCCTAGCTAGGAACTGCGCGAGTACTTTCCTCGTTGTACCTATTTTCAGACAATTAATAAAGTTTGACTTGGCTCGGCCGCGAAAATGGCACTCGTTTGTGGGCTTGCGAGTAAGCTGCGAAATTCGTGGTCGTACGCAAGTTGCAGCTTTTTTGTTTCAACGGATTTATGATGCTAAGCAAGAAAACAGATGTCAGATGAAGGCTGGCAAGTACAAGCTTGCTAGCTTTCATCTATTGTTCAAATCCCGCCACCAAGCAAGATCTCAGTTCCTTTTGAAACAATATGCCAGCCCTGCTTTCACGATCCCTTGCGATTTAAACCTGCATCAACGGTAACTTCCCTTCTCTGCCTTTACCTCACCAATCAGGCTCACAAATCCACGTTATCCAGTTCCTAGGGTAAAGATACCCATAACATGCTCTCATTGCCCCATTAATCCCACTAAACCTACAGACCAGTATATTTTGTACAAGAACGATTTATGCATTCGTTCCGGTCATATGCTGGTTGCGGAATATGCCAAGAATCGAACCCATCATCAGCCTGCTTTTACATAACTCTCGAAAAAGTGAGCTATTGGCAGTCTTGCAAACTGCTTTATTTCGTGTATATCGTACAAAAATAGCTGACAACAAAGGCGATACGACATAATGTATGGATTAAAATTTCACCTCAAAATGACAAAAACACGACTTGCAAGGGCTGATAAAACCGAATTGCTCCAAGCATTTTTTCGATGGTGAAATAAAATCTAAACTACCACATTTCTCATGCATTTTTTTTAACTCGAAATTCCATAAAATGAAACTAGCCAGTCCTCTATGCGTGAACAGTGCCTTCAAAATATACTTTTTCGAAGATACCTAGCACCTGCTCGTGGTCTAGAAGCCCCAACTTCCAAAATGGGGTGAATAGGCTCGAAAAAACACAAAGCCAGGATATCTCGAAACGTCTCGAACCTTATCAAGTGCCTTTGTTGGAAAACCGTTGAGCTGGTAATTTCTTAGGAGAAAAAACGAATATCAAGGTGCATCAATAAGTTAACCAAAAAGTCATACTACACTAGTCTAAAAATCTGAAAAAAACAGCCAACTGCACAGCTGGACAAAGCACATCAGGGATCGATCAGTGGATCTAGTTTTCTCGGATGACTGCGCGTTTCGGCTACGTTGCCTTTATGGTCACAAAAGGCGGACGGAGGGAGGGGAAGGGGCTGACAAATTCCACCCAAAATTTTTGCTTTAAATTTTTGCCATAATTTTTGCCTTTTTCGTCTTGAAAAACTCTTGATGTTCCGCTTCTGCTTGTACGTTCTATTCGCATAACATTCGGTACACCAACACTGTGATACCAACGTAATAGGCACAGCCCAACAGTTATGAATTTCAAACTTGTCGAAATATCAAGCCAAAGAGAGATAAACATGAATGTTCCCTTATTTCTAGCACCATTTTCATTTTCGTAAAAGAATATGTAAAACTTCGGAGCAAAAATTCGGTTTTAAGAAATACAAAATTGTTAACAGCGATCGCTTGTTCCGAACAACAATGGTTGTGAAAATTTTGACAAATTTGAACATCGCAACTTGAAATAAAAAAACAGTGGCCTCTAGCAGTAACAGGCATTAAATAGTCGCAAAATCAGAGAATTAGAAAGAGAAAAAAAAACTGCAAAATATCAAAAATATTTGAAAATAGCAAAAATATCATTAAAAAAAATAGCAGTAGTAAATAATGTACAAGTCCTTTAGAAAAAAAAAATACAAATGAATAAGCAAAAAACGCGAAACGCGTGAAAAAAAACGTATTGTAAAATGGTATAAATTTTTTGCATTTTTATTACAACAGTTCTCCTCATTTTTCAGGAGCATTTTTTTTTTTCATATGAAATAGGCGCACTTTTTTTTTTAAAGAGGAAATGCTGCTGCTGTATTGCCATAGGAACATTTCTGAACATAGAGAGGGACGAGAAAACTTCCAAAAAGAACGGGGCGCCAGGAAGAGGGCACGGGAAGGGAGGAGGGAGGGAGGGGGGGGGGGGGG